ACTATCAATCACTATTAAGAGTCTATCTATCACATAGAATAAACCATAACCTACCTTTACAGAAGAACCGAAGTCAAGCAAGCTAATTCTCCAATGTTTTTCCTTTCCTCAATGTCTCAGCACGTTTCCAATCTATCAAGTATGCATAATTCATAAGTTAATGAGTCCATAGACACCATATATACTATACTTCTAGCCTAGGTCTCAAAAATTACCCAAAAATCATAGAGCACGAATCTAAATCAAGTTTAAATTTCAAGCCTAAGATTAAGTCTCACTTCCTCCATTTACCATAACCTTAATGAATTCATATAATACAATACACCTAATATTTAATTACTTGTCTCAATATATCGAAAAATTTATAATAACAACCGTACATATATATATATATATATGGAATATAGTCAAAATTTTATAAACATAACTTAGATGAAAATTGAAGAAATATATATCTTCATCATCACCTAATTATTAATTAATAAACAATTACCACTAATTTAGTCAAATACCTACGAACCCACCTGGCAGCCATAGTTTCTTTCAATTTGCTTCCACATGACCATTCTATATACTTCATATCTTCCACTACTAATACACCATAAAATAATACTAAAAAAAATTGTTGCCCTCCCCAAAAATCCAAAAACCAAATCGCTATTCACTGACATTTTAACTCAACTTTCAATTTATACAAATACATCACTTGTAATCATTAATTCAGTTATAACCTTTATCATTAATAAATTTCCAACCAACACGCTATACCCTTCCAATTATATATTTAACTAACATACTATAATCACATCAGGATACATGCTGATCAATGCAATTGATACAAAAATAATTTTAAAGGGAAGAGCATACAAACCTTACAAATGAAAAATTAATTATTTAATACCTACCACCACTATATAACCCTAGTTAAAAAAATAGTTCCAAAGTTACCATTTAAAATTTATGGTAATACAAATTTACCGTAGTTAAATATTTAAATTTCAAACTAAAATTATATCATATATGTTAAAATCTTAATTTTGAACATGAATTAATGTTGTTATATAATGTTGTGAATAGTACTTAAATTTGTTGAATGACTTATAATTGTGATATTGTTCAACATAGAATTTAACGCTTCCTAAATATATTTATTTATCCTAAATTCATAAGTTTAAATTTTAGTTCTCATAAAATTATTTTTCAGTTTTGAAATTTGATTGTCCTTTTAACAATTTTCTTTAGAAATGAAAAGGTACTGAGAGGTTTTAAAACTGTTTTTTTTAGATTGTGATTGTCAATAATAATTTATTTAGATTAAGGATAAAACTAAAAAATAAAATTATCTAGTTGGATATATAATCTCTTTTTTTTGCACATTCAATTTAAATACTATTTTATTTTATTTTTAAATGAAAACTTTTACATTTTTTTAGAAATTGAAGTCAGGGTAATGGAAAGTTTTAAATATGCATGTATATATATTTGATTGTCATAAAAATTACTCTATTCCAGAAAAGAAATTAAAAATGGATTTAACTAATTGGATATTTTTTTTCACATTAAGTCAAAATACAAATTTAAAAATTTCTAAAAAAAATAATTATATAATGCCTTTGGCAACGACTTAGCGAATAAAAAAGTTCTAATTTTCTATAATTCTTATCTACAATAACCAAATTCTTGGCATATTGAAAATATATAAATAATATAAATCACTATTGCTATTAGGACTTTTTCCAAACAGTTTTTGCATTATATACATTCCCTTGAGTTATTTTTATGTTTTGTCCTTTAATATATGTATCATAAGTGTTAAGAGAAAAAATCCACTAAAATTATTATATCATTTGCTTGACCATATTTGTTTTATTATTTTATTAAATCATTTGATTTACGAACATTTATTAGTTGTTTGAAACTAGTACAAAACATAAAAAACTTACAATAAAGATATTAATGTTTTTTATTTAATTTATTAAATAAAAATAAATGTGAAAAGTGTAAATTCTCATAAAATAATGATTTTGACTCAACTTAGCTAACTCAACAAAACATGGAATCATGTCGTTAATTTCAAGTCATAACATCTTCTCAACATTTATACAACTTGAGATGTAGATATAAAATTATATAGTATTAGAGACTTAAAGATCTCATAAAATTTCAAAAATCAAGTTCTAATTAGAGTTATCGAATTTTTATTTGCATAATGATATACTTACAAAAATAGACATAATTCTCCATTGAGTGTATATATGAGATCGTTTCTTCGCTGACTTGGTAGATTATTCAATAGATCTACCAAATAGAAGTAGCATCCACCGAAATATATCTATATTTATCCTTTCATAATCACTATACATACTTGTTCAAACTTGACATCGATAACATACAAATTACTACCTAAATCACTTGCATACAATCACCATTATCTATGTATTACTCATCACTTCAAATGATGAAGATTAATTATCATAAACCAATGAAATATAAAAAATAATCATAAGAATAAAAAAAAGACACGAAAAGAAAAAAATGTTACCATGTTTAAGTGGTTGAATAAATATAAGAGAATAGAAATTCTGAAATTAGTAGATTTTTAAGAAGATGTAAGTGATGGAGTTAATATTATCTATGCATCGTGCGGGTGCTTATACTAGTAATTATAATAATATTCTATATATACGATAAATGAAAATAGTTTGCAATGTGGTTAAGTGGTAGCTATTGAAAAGTCACATGACAATTTTTAAGTTAATAAATATTATAACAAAAAATTTAGGTAAATAATTAAAAGTAATAGAATTAGAAAATACATGAATAATAATTAAATGGAAACAAGATAAAATCTTATATCAAAACGACTTTTGGCATCACCGGAAGGATCGAAACCACATTCGTAGACCGACAATTTTTCTATTAGACTTTTTTAAAAAAAACTCATTATCTTTAAAATAAAAACCCACATATAGAAGAGATCTAAATTAACTTTTTTTTGTTTCATAAACTTATCATTTTCACAAGTTATAAAATAAATTTTGCATACATTTAATGTAATATCAAACTAAAATAAAAATATAATAATAATAATAGACTAATAGTAATATATATATATCAATATTCTTTTTTATTATATAGGAGAGAGTTCGTCAACGTGCATGCTTCAGCGTGTTTAGAAAAAAAATATTTAAAAATTATTTCTTTTGTCTTACTTTAATTTAATTAGTGCATAATATTTTCGGGATCCGCTTTAGCTATGACTTTTAGTAAACATGTTTCGGAAAAAAAATTAAAAATTATTTATTTTGTTCTAAGTTAATTTTAATTATTGTATAATATTTTTGAAATTATGGGATCCTTTTTTAGCTATGATTTTTAGTTTTATATTCATATTCTTTAGTTATAGCTTTATTATTTTTAATGTCGGTTATATTTGTTTATATCTTATAATTACTTTGAGTAAAAAATCAACGATCGATGACTAAAAATACTTTAATTATGAACATCTTAATAAACCTTTTCACATACAAACAAAAAGTAATTAAAAATTTAAAAAATCTAAAAATCATATTAAATTTTAATTAACCTTTCTAAATTCTATCTATATCACATTAATTAAAAATTAAAAATAATTAGATATTGGGCTCGTGCTAGCATGGACACCTGTGTTATATCATAAATGAAAGTAGTTTGCAATGTGGTGAAGCCAAGTGACAGCATAATGAAAAGCCACATGAAAAATATATTTGTAACGACCTATTTCCGTCATTATAGAGAAGCCAACGGGAAAAAAATTTGAGCCAAAAAACTTTTTCGTAGTAACTTGAGATTTCTCAACCTAGTCCATATTTGGACGAAATCGGAGTCATCAAAGTCTAGGGAAATCTGCTAGCAATTGGGGTGATTTAATTATGATTTTGGTCACATGAGTAGATAAATAAGTCGTTAAGGAACTTCGTACGACTTTACGGAATTGAATTCGGGCGAGTAGAACTCTCAGAATTGATCTTAGCGTGAACGAGTAGTTTCTGAGTGTCGTTGGTTGAAGGTGTGTTACGAAAATGAGGACTTGGAATTATTAAAATAGCTCACTGGTTCGTGCAAGCCGCTGGGGCGGGATTTTTGCCTCCAGGGTGGGGCTGCTGTAGCGGGTCCAATGCGACTTAACTCGGAAATAAACCCCAAAACATCTTTATTCTGCACTTTTCGACTTTGAGCGTAAGGAGACGAACCCCAGGATTCTTGACAGTTTTCCACCATTTTTAAGGCTAAAGGTAAGGTTTTAACTCCCCGAACCCGTTTTTCGATTTGTAGAACGTAATCTAATGGGTAATTATCGAGGGGAAGAGTTTTGATCTGAGAGTTTATGGTGGGAAAAAGCCCTAATTGGGATAATGA